AAGAGAGGAAGAGAGGGGGGTAAGGGAGAAAGGGAGGAAGGGAGGAGGAAGAGGAGGGAGAAATGAGGACATGAGGTAACTGCGTGTGCACTTCTCCAATTCTAGCGTAGTGGCTGAAGAGATGGCTCAGAAATTAGGACTCCTTGCTGCTTCTGCAGAGGACCTTCCAAGACCTTCTATAACTGGGCCATTCTTAGCGATCAACTCTCAGGGCTCAGAATCAGTCAGATTATGCTGCTTCTGCCTTCCAGGAAAAGCAGTCAACTGCCCACCTCTCACTGTCCTTAACTTGGTCCAGTGCCAGCACCAGTTCTCTTAAGGGGGTCTACCTGATTCCAGTCTCACCTCACCCCAGGTCCAATTTCTGCTACAATATAGGCTTGCAGAGATCTAAAATACAAACCTCTCCCCAGCTCTTCAGCTCACTCTCCTTGGGAAAGTTTATAAACTCTGGCCTCCATGCCCAGCTCTCGCTGAGCCCACCAACCTCTTCCTTGCTGTTTCTGCCTCCAGCTCTAGCACCGCCACTTCTCCTCAGCACCTTCTGGTTGGTTTTGTTGAGAGAAGGTCTTACTGTGTGGCTCTGACTCACCTGGAACTTGCTTTGTAGTCCAGGCTGGCCTTGAACTAGGACAGATCAGCCTGATTCTGTTTCTCAGGCCAGAAGTTTTTACAAAGATTTATTTTTATGTGTATGAATGTTTTACCTTGTGTATGTATGTGCACCATCCATGGAGTCAGCTCTTCTACCAAGAACTGGAGTTCTAGATGGCTGTTGGCAGCCATGTGTGCCCGGGGAACACAACCTGGGTACTCTGGGAAAGCAGCAAATGCTCTTAACCCAGAACCATCTGCTCTGGTCTTACTCCCTGCTGATCCATCTTCTCCTGACCCCACCTCTTACCGACAGCACCCCCATTGACTCCGTCACCATCACCCAGTGTCTTCATCACCTCTCAGATTCCCGCTCTACTGAGCTCATCTTTACTCTGGTCTCCTCTCCCAACTGGATCTCCACCTACCACTCCAGCTTCCTTTCCCTAGTCCCACGTCACAGCTATGCCTGCAGCCATCCCTTCTTCATGGGCTTGAGCTCTGAGGTCCCCAGGGTACAGACATCCCCATGCTCTCTTGCTGCTCCCCACCCTAAATGCCTGTTTCTGTTGTTCACGTTGGTTCCTCAGAGTGTAAGCAGGGATATGTGGAAGACTAAGCCACCAACATTTGCCTGGAGGACAAAATGAATTTTAAGTCTACGGCTTCAATTCTAAAAGTCTTTGCACGAAAAGTGTTTCTACATGAAATGCCAAGCCATGGTTTTTTTTTTTTCCTTCTGTACAAGTATAATTTGTATGCAGAGAATGAACTCTGATCCAGGCAGAAAGAATAGAAACAAGCCTGAGGAGGTGTTCCCCTTATCAAGTAACCTTACGAGTGTTGTCTGTAAAAGACCTTTATTTAACGTACTGGCGGATGGAACTGAAATCAGTGATCCTTTCTACCTGACTCCCTTCTCTTGCATGTGGGCAGAACCTGTGACTTGCACGTAACCCACAGAACATGGGTGATGGTCATGAGATGTCACTGTAATGTCTTACTATGTGTAATGATTAGATTATATATGACTCTCTTGAGCTGAGGACACAGTTCAATTTGGTAAAGCGCTTGACCTGAGTTTGAGCCCAGAACCTGAATAAAACAGCCAGGCTTGAGGTAAACACTTACAATTCTGGTTCTAGGGAGGCGAGACAAGTAGATTCCTGGGGCTTACTGGCCGGCCAGCCAGCCAGCCAGCCAGCCAGCAAGCCTATCCTCTTCAGAGAGCTTCAGGTCACTGGACAAGACCTGAATAAACAAGGTGGTCAGTTCCTGAGGAACACGAGAGCTATCTTCTAGTCTTCATGCCCACACTCACCTGTATACACACAAAACATTAAGTAATGAAAAAAAAAAGACCACTGGGCTGGAGAGATGGCCTAGCAGTTAAAGAACACTTGTGCTTGCAGAAGGGCCAGTTTTACTTTCTAGAACCCATGTGGTGGCTCACATCTGTAACTCCAGTTCTAGGGGACGCAATAGCCTCTTCTGACCTCTCTTGGCACCAAGCACACAAACAGGCAAAAGACTCCTAAATAAAATCTAAATTAAATTAAAAATTAAGACGGTCTTGTTAGTTGACTCACTATGGGGCCTTCCTGCCTTGCTTGATGAAGCAGCCACTGAGCTGACATAAAACAAATTAAGGAACTACTGCAGACTCCAGGAATCTTCACCTCCAAAGGATGGCCGGAAGCCGGCAGGGTCTCAGATCTTGTGGCCACAAACACACAGAAATGGAGTTTGACAGCTTGGATCCTCCTTTCCCAGTACAGCCCCCCTCCCCCCCCCCCGATAAAATCACAGCCCTTACTTGACCTTCACTGCAGCCCTAGGAGATCCTAGCAGAGGTCCTAGCTGAGCTTGCTCCAGCTCCTGACCCACAGAAGCTATGAAGTGTGTGGTCACTTGTCAGCGAACCATCACTGACAGGCATAGGTGTGATGGTGAACAGGGGAGTGGTTGCAGTGGAAGGAAGTGGATTTGCCTGATGGCTGTGTAGGTTACTAGGCCACAGCTGCTGGAGGAGAAGCAGTCAGCCTCTTCAGACTAGCAAGTATGAGGCTTTTGGTTAGCTGTAACAGAAACAAACCAGCAAACTTCATGCAAAACACCAATAAACAAACAAAATAAAGCAATTTACTGTGAGGATTAGTACAGGAAATAGAAAACAGCCTCAAGACGTGTGGATATTCTTGGAAACCAAGTGTGTACACCCCTCCAGCTTTTGTACCTGTCTCCCAACACAATGATAGAATTCTTTCTTCACTGGCTGGTTTTCTCCGTCATGCACGGTAACTGTTGGTTGTCATTTAGAGCTCCTTAGTACTATTGCCAGGACAGATGTCCCTGATTCCTTGCTATGGGGCTCATAACTGTACAAAGCTGTGTAAACCCACACTAGCCAGGGAGGTACAGTTCATACTGCTTGGTTGCACCATGCCAGTTCATTTCTCCTTCCTCCTAGCTCTACCTATGTTACACGAAAAAAGTAGTCTGAGTGCTACCCGAAGACTGAGTCTGAGAGTCTATGTGGGCTCTAGTGTAAAGGGACAGACAGGGTGGAGGCTCTGTAGCATGGAAGGAAGGTTGAGAACAGACCACACAAAAGCAATCAGGGGAAGCTTTGTCTTAAAACCTTCAAATGAGCTCACACTGGGAGGTGGAGACCCAAGAAAGGGATCCATCTCTACCAGTTCCAGGGAGCAGACCACACTAACCAGGTCTAATTCTTGAGTGTCTACAGGGTACAACCCTGTACAACGTGCATAGCAGCCATGGCCACCTCTTCACTATGTGGGATCAATAGCAGGTTCCTTCTAAAAGGCTAAGGAACAGTGTACTGGGGCGTGGGAAGATGAAGGGCTCTATGAGCCGAGTGTTAATGTGTGGCCACAGAGCACTCTGAGCACACAGCCCCCGAGCTTCTGAGAAACAATGGAAAAGGGAGGGCAACCATATGTAAGACAGATTCCAAAAGCATCTTTCTGGTTTAAACACTTGTTTTTTTATAGTGAGAGAGTATTTCCCGAATCCTGTAGAGACTTGATGTCCCAGAAAAGGGAGATCCTCGGGGGTTGGGGGAGAGCAATCTTTCAGAGGCAAAGGGGATGGAGTACAGAACTCTGGGAGGGAGGACAGGGAAGGGGGACAACATTTGGAATATAAATAAAATAATTTAATAAAATTTTTTAAAAAAGATTTGTGTGTGTTTTCCCTGTATTCCTGTATGTGTACCATATGGGTGCTTGGTATTCACAGAGGTCAGAAGACATTGGATCTCCTGGAAATGGAGTTACAGATGGTTGTGTACCATTATGCAAGTATTGGGAATTGGACCTAGGTCCTCTGCAAGAGGACCAAGTGCTCTTAACCTCTGAGCCAGCTCTTCAGCCCAGATATAAATTTAAAAGGCAGGAGAAAAATGTTTCTTGGTGCATGTTTTCAGTGTAATTAACAAATTATATTGCCTTAAAGGGCTTCAGAGGTACAGGGAACACTGAGCGAAGAGAGATCTTTGATCTTGCTTAGATGTGTGTGTGTGTGTGTATAGGTAACAACACATACACATATGGACATATTTCTGGTCTATTTCGTGAGATAGTTGCAGCTCAGAGAGACTTAAATTCACGATGTTCTTGCCTCAGCCTCCTGAGTGCTGGGATTCCAAGCAGGCAGATACTGTGCCCAGTCACAATGTTGGCTAAGCCAGAGGAGATCACATACCTCTAAAGATCAAAGTCTCAGGCATCTACCAATGTCAGTGTCTACTTCTCTGTTATCTAGAAAAGCACCCTAGGCAGGTCACAGGGAGGGGGCACAAGAAGAACAACCTTGCAGAATGATAGCCTCCCTTAGGTCCAATTCTGCTCCTCCCAGGGGTCTTAGACAGGACAGGGGAACGTTCAGGTTACTGGAAGTCATAGTTCCTGATATGTGCACGCGCACGCGCGCGCGCACACACACACACACACACACACACAAGCACACAGCCCTGAAAGTCACCAGAAAGTAATATCAAGACTGTAACCTACAAAGAGGCCTTAGCCATGGATGGTCCTTACAGGTCCAGGCAGCTGGTCACAGCTGGGCAGTCTGAGACATAAGAGTGATATGTGTATGGAGTGTATGCTGGCCTACAACGCACTATGTAAGTAAGGATGATCTCAAACACCTGATTCTTCTACCTGTCACACCATACCCGCTTCCCCACTCCCAGAGACTTGCTATGTATCCCAGGCTGGCTCAAACTTACAACCCTCTGCCTCCCAAGTGCTGAAACTACCATGCTAGCATCTCTCTATTGTTTCAGATTTCTAGAGTCAAACACACAGGCATACTCACACATATATGCACAAATAGAAATGTATATATACCAGAATTTGCCTCCAAGAATTAGCAAGTTTTCATATAAACCACAGAATATATTTAATTCAAATTAAACATGAAACTAGAATAACATTCGCTCTTTATCAAGTAGCAATTATAGTTTTGTTTTGTTTTTTTAAAAAAGAATGGTATACTTCTCTCCATATTCTGGCGATCCACAAGGCACGACTGACATCTATTCTGATGAGGCGACAGAGCCAGCAGTCGCCAACAATGCTCTAGATTCTAGGGGTTGGAGGAGACAGACTGTATTTAATACAAAATGATTCTGCAGCAAGTCTGAAGGAACGGAAGCTCCCTCTGGTACATGAGAACCGAAGTCCAGGTAGCAGGAAGTAGGCAACTTGCATAATGAATGTTTTATTAAATAGACAGGTAAGTCTCTTCTGAGTCACTCCCAGCGCTGTCACAGCACTGGCAAAGGCTTCCCATACATTTCTCGGCAGTGTACTCTTTCTGCTGTAGGTATTTCTTTGTCCTGATCATTTTTGGCATGATTTTCATCCTAGATAAAGCAAGCCAACTTCTTTACGACTCAGGTCATTCAGCTTTGAGGATCGGCCATCACCTTCTCCTTGGGCCGTGGGAGTCTAGTCCTTCGTGGTCAGACCTTCCTTCCCCCACTGAAAGCTTTTCACTGTTTGGTCTACAGAGACAGAGGCTTGCCTGACCCAGTTCCGCTCACTGGGATGGAGGGCCAAAGGCTGGCAAGTGGCTTTCTTCACAATGCAGTACTTTCTGTGTCATTGTCTATGTCCAGCAGGATGTGGCCAGGCACTTCTTTGCTTGCCAAGTCTGAATGTATTTCAGGAAACATGTTTCGAATTGATTCAGAAACCCTAGAATTGGTGTCTGGACAAAAAACATGAAGAAACATGGTATCAGTGAGAGTTAGGTCAAAATGCCACCAATGCACTAAGAAGGAAGCTGGAAGGTCTGAGTCAGCCCATGCACAAACACAGCCCTTTCCAGAGGTTTCAAGGCCTTGAGACCCTAGGCAGCCGGAGGGATGTGACACTTGAAGGACACTTGCTTTTAGTGAGGGCAATTCCACTCTCACCTAGGCCTCCAGTGTACTAACAGTGTTCCCAACAGCATCTGTGTTGCTGGGCAAGACTGCCTGGGAAGAACTCTCTTCTGAGGCTGCAGGAGTTACCCCTGGGCTATAAAGCTGTGACCTCAACCTGCACTGAATCAATGCTTGGATTGAGTTACTCTGAGTTGCAGGGACTATACTCTGCACTGTAGGATACTGTGTAGACTCTAGTGGCTTTTACCAACAAAATGCTGGTGGCATACAGCTTACTGACCTCCAGAGAGACAACCTAAAATGTTTCCAGGCACTGTTAAGTGTCCCTAGTGGGACACATTCACCTTTTGTGACAACAACTTCAGTAGACCACCAATCTCTAAATACTATTTTTCGAATACTAATACGCTGAAATCTCTTACGCTATCTTCTTAGGTTGACTGAAAATTCCTTCAGTAAGATGGCAAATATACAGGCCTAAGCCACTGCCCCTCTCCTTCCATGTTCATAAGACCCCTTCATTCGCCACAACTCTCTTCCAGACTACCACATGCTGGGTCCTGCTGTGCCTGTGGAGGATACACTAGTGACGGAGACAGATGTGGCCTTGATGAAACCCATAGATAAGCCAGGAAACTGGTTTCTTCCCCTTCCCCAGAGCTCCTCTTGGCCTCTCTCCATACAGTTCTGAGCTGTGAGTTTAACTTTTTCCTAGGTCAAGAAACCTGTCCTTGTACCATAACTAGGAGAAATTTTTAAGATTATGGAGGTGCCAAGGAGTTAAAGGGTCCAGGCGCTCAGCGCCATTCCAGACACTTCAGATTTATAGGAACTTGAAAACCAACTGAATGGGTCTGAATCTCATGGTTCACAGATAAATCAGAAGCAATCTGTGTACACAGAATTAAGGACATCTCAGACTTGTGGCTCATACAGGGCAAGGTCATACCTGTCTTGTTTAGTGCTTATGGCCATGATTGGCACAAAGCAGACCCTATAAACCTAGGTAGTGGATAGACAGATAAATAGTGGACTGGTGCAAACACCTTTCCAACCCTCCCTTCTCACAGCCTCAGGCAGAGAGGTGGCCATGACTCAAGGCAGCAGTGAACAAGAAAATCATCACAAACTCAGTCTCTGCCCCTACAACCCTACCTACCCCAGATGCCACTGCCAGTCCAGGGAGTTCACAAGGACTCCGAGACAGATATGAGCTAGTGGAGCATGCAGAGTGCAAATGCACAGTGATCAGATGTTCGCTTGTTAAACCTCTGCTCATGCGCCAGCTGTTACAGAGGACAAGCTGGCTTTTCTTTTCCTAATCCATCGAGATACCTTTTTTTTTTTTTTTTAATTAATTTCTTTTTAAAGACAGGGTTTCTTTCTCTGCATAGCCCTGAGTGTTCTGGAACTAGATCTTGTAGATCAGGCTAGCCTTGAACTCAAGAGATTTGCCTGCTTCTGCCTCCCAAGTGCTGGGATTAAAGGTATGTGTCATCACTGCCTAGTGTATATACCATTTCTTAATTTGTACTTTTTTGAAATTCTCTACTTACGATGAAAACAATAATATATTTAGGACAAAATCCATGTGGTGAGGTGTAAGGGCATGGCTTTCCTCTGCCTCCTGTCTGTCCAATCTTCCCTTCCCAGCCTCTCTCATTCTCACAGAAATTGTTTTGTGACAGCAAACAATGAAGTGTGTGCAGGGAGTGGTAAGAAGGGCTTCATGGTGTGCAGGGCCAGTTTCTGGAAGGACAGCAAACACAGCTGTGCATCTGCTGCAGAATGAAGACACGTGCACTCCCCAGCTGTGTCATACCACTTTAGTGAGCTGCTGTACACACTATACCAGCATTCGCTCCACTGTGGAGACCAAGGGCACCACTATATCAAGGTGATATGCCAGCACCGGTCAGACACAAAGCAAAGACAGTATGTCTGGGCTCTCCGGACTGCACTGTGTTTCTCTACCTCCCAGAGGACCATGTATATCCTCTGTGAGCATCCCAAGGGAGAAGACATTGTCTGAGGAGATAATGGTTGAAGTTGTGAACACCTGGTCCACTGCAGTAAAAAGTGTTACTTTAGAAGACACCCTCAAGACTTTTTTCCCCCTCTTCTAATGATCTACACATCTCTAAGAAGGGCTGGTCTGTAAGTACATCCCTTGGAGTTAAGTTCATATTAAAAATAATTTAAAGATGATAACAAGAAACCCAGAAAAGAGCCTCAGGTGACATGCCTTACTTGGCCTCAAGACACAGGGAGGACAGCGAGATGGACTTGGGATCCTGACAAATGGAACTCATTCTTTCTTTCTTGAGTGTCTTAATTTGGGAGACAGGCCTTCAAGGGGCAGGACTGGCACTCTATAGAGTTTACAGTATGGGTCTAGAAGAATTTTCACTCCAATAATTTTGATTATGTGCTTTTAGGTTGCAACACTTTCTTCAAAAATGCTATTTTGATATCAACTCTCATAAGCACCAGATTCAAGCACACCCTGGAAAGCAACCCAATGCATAGTGAAGCTCCAAACATCACTGCCACCAGCCAGCCTGTCTCAGGTCTGAAAGCCCCAGATCCCTTAGCAAGTCTGGTCTGTGGACAACAGAGTGAGCTTCTTATTACTCTAGCCCAGTGGTTCTCAACCTTCCCACTACTGTGACCCTTTAATGCAGTCCTTCATCTTGTGGTGACCCTCAACCATAAAATTATTTTCACTGCTACTTCATACCTGTAATTTTGCTGCTACTATCAACTGTGATGTAAAAGGGTGTGTTTACTGATGGCCTTTTGGTGTTGCAACTCACAGGTTGAGAACCACTACTCTAGTTAAAGGAGGGATTATACTCGATCTCACTGAATGTCTGACTTCCCATGAATACGCCGTCTACATATTAAACTGCAATTAGAAGCAGAAGCCCAGTAAATGTTCAACTACAAGTAATAACAGCACATGCAGCTGATGAAACAGTGAGTACTATATTCCTATGGTAATGGTGCAGAATGCAAAGGAAAATCCTAATGCTGGGATAAAATTCATACAGGGCAAATGAGATCATGTACTTCCCTGCCTTCAGAAAACAGACTGAGACAGTCTTTAAAGGTAGGCTAGAAGCAGACTTCTGCAACTAGAAAATAAAGATCTGAATACCTAGGTGGTGCCTGAAACCTCTTGTCTCTCTCTGGGTTCTACAAGGCCTAGTCTGGCATGTAACGTAATAATAAATAACTAGCACTCGCTCACCCACTGCTACTATCGGCTGTTAGAGCCTTTCTTATTTCACCTGATTTAATCTATTTACCCGTTGTGCCCAATGTTGGCACTTGACACATCAACCAGGTTGTGCCTTCCCAAGAGTGTTTCCCGTGCTACAGCACATGCTCTGTCTACTATATCTCAAGCCTGCTAGAAGAGGAAAGAATGCAAATGAAGGAGTAACAAGGCCAGCCCAGTGACCACCTGTTAAAGTCCGTGAACACATTTAGTCCTTAGAACAATGAAGAGCAAGCATGGACATGGTCAGCCCTCCTTAGTGCATGCACTATTAGTAGGGGTGCAGGCAGGCAGGGTTAGGGTGACTTGGTTAGTGACAGCCATTAGTGCACAAATACGATCGTAAAGTAGCAAAATGCTTTGGCCAATCAGTTGCCTTTTCCTTACCATTAAACATTCCAATTTCAGTTCTTACTGAATATGGCAGGTCATACATCTAAATTATTTAATAAAATGTTTAAATTAGAATACTCTTTGCTAAAATCCTACTGCTTTACAGAGTCACAATGAGAGCTTGATATTTAGGATGGCCCAGAACTGCTCCCTTCTCTGGAGCTCTGAACTAAGCTTTGAAGAGGGGAGTGAGCTACCAAGTCAGCTTGGCAGTGTGGCCTGCCTAGTGTTCACTCAGTCCCTAATGACTGAAGCTTTAAGTTAAATGATGCAAATGGTGAGGTGTTTTCAGGAATCCTTCCAAAGTTTCCTAAGTTAAAGCAAGTCACAATAAAAGGCTGTGCTGTATACTTTATCTTGAAGACTATATCCAAGAAGAGTCACTAACAGCATGGTCCATGCTAGGGGATTCCTAAATTCCACATGCTGGCCTTCTATACATTTCCAAATGTGTGTAGGCTCGGGACGTTAAGATACTTTAGGTTAATGCTACAATACAAAGGAAACTACAGGGATCCTGGATTTTTTGTGCTAAGCAAATTTATAGCAAAGAATAAAAAGAAAAGCAGGTTACATCTTAGATTATTTTTTAAAGTAAAATTTCACCTCACTATAAAGTGTAGTGACTGATAAATCAATTAAAACAATCTTTTGGCAATAAATACACAGACATGGCAATATCATTGGTGTCCATGGTATTACAAAATAGGCATATTTCTGGTTTGCAGAGTTCTCTAGTCTAGTTAAAAGAACTGAGTAAAATTTTGGTGTCATAAGTATTAAAGTGTTAAAAGGCTCAGGCTTAACTAAGGTTTATAGTCACTCAACTAATGGATTAATTACCAGGTCCTGAGGAAAGCAGATGGATGTCTATATCCTCCACCATTTCAAGCTTGAACTATGCTGTGAACACTTACACTATATCTCTTACAAAAGGCTAAGAGCACTAAATAAAGCAACTGTACCATACAGGAGCCTTCTGCTGCCCAATATATGCCCAAAGGTATGTTCAGGTGAGCCTCAGTGTGTCTTTTAAAAGCTCATACAGCTTAGGAAAGCAAAATGTAAGCATGCTAGATGCAAAGGGCATAAAGGGAGCTCAGGGGAGGGTTATCTGGGAAGTTTGGAGGGGCTGAGAGTTTTAGACACCAATTAAGAAGCTCCATGCAGTTACCTTGCACTTAAGATACAAAATTAAAATTAAAGCACAAAACACAGGGGTGCATAATTTTCTGTGTTGATGGTACCCTGGTCCTCTTCTGTTGGATACTGGTAAGCCAATGACAGGTAAATGGTACTGAGAAGAGTAGAACCCTGGGAGAGGCTTACTCAAAGAAAAAAATGGAATAATACAGCATCTTATCTGAGGGCTTCAAACTGAGATCTCACCCTAGTGACAGCCACTTCTTAGATTTGGGGCAAAGCCAAAGCTCAAAATTCTTCTGATGGGACTAAAGGCCTAACTATATGCTACAGAATGAATGGCTGACTGATGGCCATGGCATGGGGTCAAATGGCCACTCTGAGCACAAAGTCAAAAGCACACACAGAACATGGCTAAGCGGGGGCGCTTACAGCTGCAGTTCAAGCTGCTGGGGTTACAGACCTTAGTTCTGGAAACCTTCCCCACCTGTGAGGGCACCGGGAAGGGCATCTAGTGGGAAACACACAGCAAAGAAACCAATGTGGCTTTGTGCTATTCAAATAAACAACCTGCTGTCATAGAAATGGTTATTAATTACTGGTAACATATGTTAAACTATGCATTATGTTCCTGGAAAGAAATCTTTTTGTAGTTAGTTAACTAATTACTTTGGGTTTAGCATTGGGTTATCATCTGCTGAGAAGTCACTGGTGAGGGCTGGCGAGCCAGAGGTACAGATCAGTGGCTTCTACTAGCATGCTTCCATATAGGACAACCCACAGCAAGGTTGCGGTAATTAAAAGCAAGCTGCTGTTAAGAAATGACCATTAAAAACACCAAAGAACCCATTATTTTTCAAACTAAATAGAAAGTCCAGTATTCAGGGGGCAAACATTCTTCCTATCATGATTTATAGGACTATCTATTAAAATATCCCATAAGGTAGCAATGTACAATTAATTTCATGCCTAAGGCAGATCCATGGAGATGATGGGACAATCTCCACTCACCCCACTAAGCATTTGAGGCTAGTACAATGATATGATGTGCTCAGAAGATCTGCCTTCCCAGAGCATTCAATTTAGCACAGCCGGTGCTTTCTGAAACTCTGCACTTAGTATATGCATTTTTACTTTAACAGTAAGTCCAGTGTGGCCTGGAACTTGCTTTGTGGATGAGGCTCCTGTCTTCAAGTATTGGTCACTATGCTCAGGTTTTGAGAAGGAATTCACTATGAACTCCATGATCATGTTGTACAATACCTTCCACCTGGACTTAAAGGCATTTGACTTTACTGTATATAAATGAAGACAGTCTTCTACCTAGAAGAAAACTTACAGGCTTATGATCTGTGCCATGGTATCCATCTTTGCTGTCTTGACATAAAAGCAGCCACAAATGGCTCAAAGGAATCAAATGTGGCTGTACTCCCAGCATGTACATGCCCAACCTGGCTTGGGGTAACTGCCCTCAAGGGAAGCCTGAGAGAATACTGAGGCACTTGCTACTCACCAGTGACAATTCTGGAGGATGTGGGCACTGAGGGTGTGAGGCCACCATCCCCCATGTGGGTTCCAGGAGGATTTGGGGGTGGTGGCACACTAGGCCGGTTGCGGGGTTTGGGCACTGGCCGTGGCCTTGGGAGGGTTCCTTGCAGCTGTGTGGTCTCACTCTGTGATGGATTCTGCTTCGCCAGGGGTGGGGTGCTAGGTGGTGTGGGGGTTTGAGGTGGCGTGGGGCCCGGCTCTGGTCCCTGTTCACCCAACCGAGGCTGTGTGGGTGGCTGTGGTGGTGGGTGGCTGGGCGCCTGGATGGGAGGAAGGCTGCTGGAGCAGCGGCGCATGCCTGGGGTCTGCTGCTGCTGCTGCTGTGGCTGCTGAGGTGGTGATGGGCTTCGGGCGCTTGGCTTTGGGGATGTGCCTGTGCCTGGAGAGCTCTGTCCTCCAGGTTGGCCAGGAGGTGGGTTTCCTGGTTTGGGGGGTGCCGGGGCAGGTTTCTTCACAGCTGCACAGAAGAGAGAAAACAGGCCAGTAAGAGCAGGGGTTAGGACTGGTTGTGGTTGTGGGAGGGGTACAGATGTGCCAGGAGGGACCTGGTGTATGAGCCCCCAGCTCTAGACCTGTCCACTCCCAAGAACATTTGGCAAAACAGAAAGCCACAGAAACTAGGAAAAACCAGACCCCTTCCCAGCCTGAGGACACTAAGGAGCCAGGAGAACTCTTGTGCCAAGGTATCTCTTGGGCAGGAAGTGGAAGGCAATGTGGACACTATGGACAAATGAAAAAGCTGCATCCAGTGTGGAATTAATGACACTGACACTGGTGTCTTGGCTGTGACAAATGCGGGGTGATAAAGCCAGACAGTAACTATGGAGTAACAGGCATAGTGGGAACAAAACTGTAAACTTAAACTAGTCCAGTATAAGCAATTTATGTAAAAAGTTAAGTGCATGATATATATATATATGTATATTTAAATGTATATGTATATGTACATGTATATGCGTGCATGCATGCCTTAGTTACCTGTCATTTTACAAGTTCAAAAGGAAGAAAACTCAGTTTAAGAGAGGCTACACACCCATACAAAACAGAAAATTGAGGGCTTCTTAGTGGCCCCTTTCCAGAGTCCCCACATACTTTGACTTTAAAGTATTGGGAACAAACCTAAGAGGAAAGAACAGAGGCACCCACCTCCACTCACAATTGCCCAAGCATTTTCTGAAGGGTCTAAGGTAGGTGTGGGGAGGGTAGCCACTGGGATTGAACCTAGGGCCCCCTCCATGCTAGGCATGCATTCTACCACTGGACTACATCCTCCCCTCAAACCCTGACTTTGGTTTTTACTCATGGAAATCCTACCAATTCTAGACATATTCTAGATACAATCAATAACAAACAAGCCTGCATCTATTTCCCTAAAATGGGCTGGGTCACAATCCCTCTCTGAGGCCAGCTTAGTTCTGAACAGAATCTGGTGGTAAGAGGAGGATGGTGGGGACAAGAGGAGCATCTTGAACACATTTCCATTTCTCCTGAGGTCACACTGAGAACCCCGAGACAGGAGGAATCAGAGGACAGAAATAAGCAGGCAACACTCATCTGCAAACCAGGCCTCTTGTGTCATCTGCCCATCTCACAAGATCACTGTGGAACAGGCCCAGAGTGGAATCTGGCAGGTTATTTTCTAACAATCGCATAGCTAATAGGCAATGGAACAGATTCAAACCTATCTCATGTGGTCTCCCTGAACTCTTTTTCCTCCTCTTTCTTCCCACACTGCTTTTCTTCCTATTCACAGAGCCCAGCAAGAGGGGTTATATGATGTTTGCTCTGATATACTGGCCTAGAACTCTGAGGCCAGAAACTCATAAAACCTTTCCCTATAGAAACAACAGTCAGCCTACAAAAGAAAAGCTCTTTGGAATATTAGCTACACTCTGGTTGATGTAAGCAATGAGGAAGAGGAGGAGGAGGAAAAGGAAGAAGAGAAAAAGAAGGGTAGAGGGAGGGCGAGAAGAAAAAAAATCTGGTTTTCTGCTCTAAGCAGTACTAACTGTAAATTCACATTGGAGATGTACTCATGCCTGACATTTACAGTGCAGAAGACTCAGGTGAGGAAGCCCGAGAATAGTGCACAGGGCAGCCAGGCTGGAGACAAACAGATCTTGTCTGGGACCATGATGGAGGTGCTGGGATGCTGAAGTATAGGCAGGCAGAATAAAACTTGTCCTGTGGGGCCTTCTGGGTTCTGGGAAGCCATCTTTATAGCTGCGCTCAGGCAGGGAGGACTGCAGGCAGGACAGATGGAGAGGACAGGAGTATAGGACAGGAGAGCAATAAGGATGAAGGGGGCTTATGACCACCAGAACTGAGCTTGCCTTCCTGCTTAAAAAGTGTATTTATTAATGATCATTAGCGTTTGTGGAATGCTTTAGAAAGAGTACATATGCTACAGAGGAGGGGGAGGGGCACGAGTTTGTAATTCCAGTGCTCAGGAGGCTGAGGTTGGAACTTAGAGTGTGTGAGGCCAGCCTGGGCTACACAGCAAGATCCTGTCTCAAAAAAAAAAAAAAAATCCAACAATGAATGTAATACTTGCAACGCTCCTTCATTTGACCCTCCTCGTATTTTTAATTCTCCTATATACATGTAGGAAAGATTGGAAAAGGTCGAGTTAGCATTCTGTAAGCAGTGTACTTTTAGGCTAAAGATAGAACACATATTCTGGAGTTCAGGGTCTTTTTCATCTTCTACAATGCCCTTGCATTAAGAGTGGCATCGAAGATAGAGGTCAGATCTCCTGGTTCCCTCTTCTGTGGCCACTGCCACCTTCCCTGAGTCACTGCAACAGTACTGTGCCCTTTCTGATGACACTGCCTGTGGCCTACCTGCTGTCTCCCTACCCCATCCCAGGCAGCTCTACAGTTCAGCTGCCCTGCTCCAGCGTTCGGCTGGTTATGTGGTGAAAATGGAACAACCCTTTCAAGCTGCTCCCCCTTCTTACTAGAGTCTGATGCCTCTCACATTCCCCATTTCAGCACGGTGCCCAGTCTAATGACTAGGGCATGGCCAGAAAGAAAGGGTGCGGAGCAAGCAAGGGGTGTGGCCTGGGTCCTGTCCCCGGAGCTCCTGCAGCCCACATGCCTGAGTGTGAGCATCTCTTGTGCTGACCACACTTGTCATCTCTAAGATCTAGTAGAGAAGAGGCCTCACAGTCTGTCATGCAATGCTCGAAGGGCTGATCCTGGAGAACATGCTGCAGCTTCTCACAAGTTCGGCAGCTTGTGTCTACTCTTCTCTTAACCACCTCTCCCTGAGGGCCACTGTGCACTCCAGTGAGCATGTGTGCAGAAGTCTGCAATATTATTTATTACATGCTTGGTGCTGTGATTTCAGTTCCCTGCTCCAAGTCTGTGTGTTGGGATCATAACTCACAGTGGGAGGCCTGAAGGAAGCGCCTCATGAATTGTTCCTGCCTTTGGCTCCCTGGCTTTCTCCTGCAGCCCCCTTCCCTTCCACTTTGCACCAGGAGCTGAAGCAGCATAAGGCTTCACCGCAAGATTGACACTAAGTCACCCATGAATTTCCCAGCCTCCAGGACTATAGATCCCCTTCTAAATCAGATGGTCTTCTGTGACTTCTCTACAGCACTGTATCCATATCCTCTGTCCTACCTGGAGGTTTTCCAATGGTAGAGGACTGTCTTTCTCCAGTCTTAATTTCAGAGAAATGTAAAAACTACAAACTCAGAAACATGCTTCAGCATACGTGTGCCCCTTGCTGTGTTAAAGTCACTGTTTATTGAGCAACCAGAATGACAAGACACTATGAGGTCAGGAACTTTCACACGTTAGTAAACACAGTAGGGACCACGGGGCAACCTGGCCAACATGGACTTGAACTGGCTGGACCTGCAGTAAGAGGTGTGGCTTTCCTTGTGCATCTCTGTTGGAACATGAGCCTCTCTAGACCATGGTCTCTCCAGTTCAGCAGCACTCGCAGCTGTGTCACACACTGACAATGCTTATAGCATCCCTGCCTCCATTCCCTAACTGTTGTCACCTCCTGCTGTTTGTGACAACCAAAACCACCTCTAGACATCAACAAAGGTTCAGAGTCGGAGACTGAGGTTTGAATGAGAATGCTCCCCACAGAGTCATATGTCTGAATGCTTAGTCACCAGTTAGTGAAGTTTGTAGGAATAGGATATGTGGCCTTGTTGGAGGTGGTGTGTCACTGGAGGTGGGCTCTGAGGCTTCAAAGGCTCACCCCAGGCCTGTGTCTGTCTGTCTGTCTGCCTGCCTGCCACCTATAGACAGGGACGTAAAGTTCTCAGCCACTGCTCACCTGCATGCTTCTTGCCATGATGATCATGGACTAACCTAACCCTTTGAAACTGTAAGCAAACCCCTCGATGAAATGCTCTCCTCTGTAAGAACTGCCTTTATCATGGTGCCTCCTCACAGCAATAGAATACTGACTAAGGTAGGGATAAAGTTAGTCCCAGTTTTTCTAGATCTCTGAGGCACCAGAGCTCCAGACCAAACGAGCTTATTGAGTGCCATCTCTGGCAGGCACACAAGTGGGTAGGATGTTGAGTAAGAGACAGGTAAGAACTGCACTCACTAAGACCTTGGGGAGAATGATATGAACTAAACAAGATGTACAAATTCAGGTCAAGAAAGATGCTCAGCAGTGAGAACACAATGCCTAAGGCAGGTAAAGCACTTGCTATGCAAGTGTGAGGACCAGCACTCACGTAAAGCCAGGCATGGGAGCACACTTGTGAAGCTCCTCTAACGGAGAGATAGGAGGTGGAGATGAGAGAATCCTCAGAATTCCCCTGGGCAGCTGACCCGGCATCCACGGTGTTAAATTGGGAGAAGGTGAGGACAAAACCCAAGGCTATCTTTTGACCCTACATGTGCACTGTGGCACAGGTGTTGGGAAGAATTACAGCAGAAAGAAAAATAAATGCTATGACCAAAAAAAACCAAAGACTGGTATGACAGAAATGGCTTGTGCCTGTCGGAGAGAAGGGGTTGATGCAATGGCTTCTTTGTGCTTCAGAGCAATGGCCCTGGCTGCTGGGTTGAGGAGGGCAAAGGAGGAACTGTTTCAATTATATTACTCCCAAACCAGAAACCCCTGGGCCTGCAGGTCTGGCTCACAAAGCTCAGTGTGGGAGAGGCTACTACGGTGGTTCCCAAACAGCAGGCTTGGAACACTGACTTTCTAGAAACCCTGACGTGACTGCACAATTCACTTTCTGCTGGTTGAACTTTATAGTTCTGGCATTTCTTTTCTCTACGTTTTTAGTTTTCTTCAATGTTTTTTTCCTCTTTGATGACTGATTTTCCTGCTTGTTAATTGGTAACAAGAGCTTCCCCTCCTGACTCTTTGCAGTAATTTCCAGAAGTTCTTACACTCTCCCCAAGCACAGGGAGTGCAGGACACTTACCTCGACGCAGAGTGTGTGGGCTGGGACCAGCTGCACTGTGAGGTGTGCCTACTGAGAGCTGATGGGAGTTGCCACCTGTCTGGGCCTGGTTTGGGACCGTGGTTGTCTGGTTGCTGTTTCTTCCTGCTGCAGGGGTAGCTGCAGACACAGAGTCTTTGGGTTTTGGAGGACTGTGAGGGGTAAAGGTGAAGTTAGAGGTCAGAGGACAGGCATTCCCTGGTAAAAAGCTAAGTACATAAAATATAGTTCATCCTTGTAGGGGGTTTGGGATTGTGAAGTTCCAGGACTTCTTACAGATACCAAAAGTCAAGGCTGAGGCAACCCTTTATACAAAATGGCATTAGAGCCTAACTGTCAACACCTTCCTGGGCACCGTAGGTCACCTCTCATAACAACCAAGACAGTGGAGAAGCCACAGGAATGCTGGATATGGTGTATTGTCTGGAGAATGGGAGACAAAAAATGTCTAATACAATGGTTTTTTGTTTTTTTGTTTTTTGTTTTTTGTTTTTGTTTTTGTTTTTGTTTTTCGAGACAGGGTTTCCTCTGTGTAGCCCTGGCTGTCCTGGAACTCACTCTGTAGACCAGGCTGGGCTCAAACTCAGAAATCCGCCTGCCTCTGCCTCCCAAGTGCTGGGATTAAAAGCGTGCGCCACCACCGCCCGGCTGGGTTTTGTTTTAAGATCTGTGTGTGTGTGCTACATGTGTGCAGGTGCACACAGACTGAGCCATCTCTCCAGCCCTACAGAAAAAAGTTTTAAAAATTATCTGAAACATAGTCAGCTGGATCTATGTATATAAGAGCCCAGAGAATGAAGATTATCTGAAATTTTAAATAGCTCAAATTGGGCAGATAAGTAGATATTTACTCAGAGACTAGGCATTTTGAGATTCCCTGCAACAGACTAAGTTTTAGCTACTTTGCCACAGAAATTAAGGCCAAGCATTTCAGAGCATCCACAGTAAGCCACAAGTTCTGTTTTGCATGTACTTAAATTGGGTGTTAAGAAAATGAGGCTTGAGGACTTTTACTAGCTGTTGTACAAAAGTAACAATTACAAAGTAACTCTGGTTAAAAAGGGCTCAACTGTCATCAGTTATCTGGACTGAGAAGTTCTGAGAAGTTGTTTGATGACTCAGCCTTCATGAAGCTGATAGTAGCAGGGAGGGAGCCAACCCAGGCCTCCTACTTCCTGGCTCATAGCCTTTTATACCAAAGATTATATTTTGTCAAGGTCACAAAAGGGCAGATGCCACTAAAGTATGCACAAAAATATTTCAAGTATAAGAACTAGAAGGGAGATGGATGGCTGACACACACTCCTTTTTCTGCAGATGACTATTTCCTTAAATATTCAGCTTTGGTTAAACAAACTGAATGTCACGAGGAAATAAAGATACATGCATTGGCTTATACACTCGGCCAAACAGAAACCATTCACTCTAAAGCCAAGGCCAGCATGTCAGAGTGCTCAATGACAGCATGGAACCTGTAGCACATTCATAAAGTACAGCCAATGGCAAAACTGTAAGACTTCTTGACTGACAGATGGACTTCCCTAGATTACAAGTGTCGAGGAGGACTCACGGATGAACATAAGCACTGAGTCCAGCTATGGCGACAGAACAAGAGTCCTGTGCCCTCTCTGAAGTCTACTGACATACCATGCAAGTGCTCCGACCTGAGCTACATCCTCAGCCCTACGATTTAGTTTTTACTTTGAGACAATGTCTCACTGTTATCCAGACTGGCCTTGAACTTGTAATTATTCTTCCTTCCAAGTAACTGGGATTATGAGCTATACCATCAGGACAGGCCTATCCTATCTTATCAACAATCAAAAAGATGCAATCAGTTTTCTAAGGAAGATCTATCTGTGTGATAAACCATGCATGGGTAAATAGGTTTTGTTTTGTGCAGATTTACTGCATATATATGCACATTTGTGCATTTGTGACCATGTGGCACTATGTGGCTGGCCAAAGACTAGGACTAAAACAATGACAATTTAAATGTCAGCACTTGGGCAGGGCTCATCTCCTGCAGAGCCACTGGATCTGAAGCAGAGATCAGCCTTGCAGTGGCCTCTGCCTGATTAGCAGAGAACTGAGTGGTACAGAGTGGAAATCTCCAACTGGAAAGTCTCTTAAGGTGATCCACTGTGAAGCCCAGCTCCCAGTGTCTTGTCAGAAGTTCAAGCAAATGAACAAGCCTTTTCAGAAAACATACAGCCTTATTTTCTTCCTTGAACCCATGTGCCTGAGGGGTGGAGGGACCCTTAGTCATCCAGTGTGCTGGTAGCCTGGTGCAATAGCAGTTACTTGGTGAATCTGTGCAACTGAATGTAATTATTAAATGAGCAAATAGATGACAAATGGCAAGACTCCTGTGACTCAGCTGGCGCCCTGCTTTCAAATGCTCCCTACTTAGCACTCTGAATGACAACAGGCAAATGGTACGTGACCACTGACAGCTACACACTGAACAGGTAGAGGCTGACCACACCGTTAGACACCCGTTAGTCTCCATCTCTAGCACCAAAGCACACAAACAAGTGCTGCTTTCTTTTGAAAACAGGAAAGCAAACAAGCAGTTTGCAACACAAACAAGTGCTGCTTTCTTTTGAAAACAGGAAAGCAAACAAGCAGTTTGCAATCTTTCTCTCCCACTAACCAAAGGAGTGAAAGCAAATTTGGTTCGCTCTCTGCCTCCACGCCAAAGATGGCCACTTGGAAGAAGGCAGAGGCATCCAGCCTTGACTGCTAGCAGAAGTGGGCTCCTTACCTGCTGTCACCTGGGCTCAACCCCTGCTCCAATATGCCCGCAGAAGAGGGGGCAGGCCCACCCCCTGAGCTGCTGTCAGCCCTAGAGCTCTGAGAAGGGGGCTCTGGGCCTGCTGGAGCCAAGGCGGTGCCATCCGTGGGCGGGAGTGGAGGCTGGAAAGCGGGGGATATGTGCTTTCTATTTAGAGTGCCACCCCTCCGGTGGGCCTGGAAGTCCATAAGCTTCACACCAAAGCTACACAGAAAGAAGAAACAGTCAACACACCACACATGCCGACTAAAGAGACAGAAGCCTGCTAGTTCTCACAGGTTAAAACCACAGAAGGGACAGCCGCCCACACTGCCCAGCATGCAGGTAAGTGGCAGCACATGTCAGTGGTCATCCCAGTTACCAAAGCAAGCACCTGGATCTGGCTTTGAACCCGAGCAAAGCCAACACCTCACATACTGATCAACAAATGCCCTTGATCAGGTGGGTGTGTGCAGCTGAGAGCGAACAGGCAGCCTCATGTTGAGTGACACTTAGGTTCTGTGCCAATCAAGTTCCTATCTCAAATGTGGGAAGGAGGTGGAAGCCAAACCCAGAAGCATACCAATGGCTGTGCAAGATCACACCACACTGCCTCTGAAGTTGCATGAGACACAGACACAATCATGTGTGCACATGAGGATATGACTGAAAGCTACATCCAGCTAGAAAAAATAGTTGGTTTTGGGAGGATGGCGTCTGAAGGGCAGAAGGAACACACTCTTCATTCAGAGCATTAGGGCATACACTGCCAAACCTAATTTTCTTAAGTTTGGAAAATTGAGAACCGGACCCCATTAACTGATGTTTACTGTAGAATAAGCAGAGCAGACAGCTAAGAATGGTATGTCATGGGCTAATGAGACTTGTCACGTCATGTAACTTAAATTCAGAAGACTAACTGCTCTAATAGGCCACCAGGGGACAATGGTAAGGACTGAATGAGGCTCAGGTAACAGTATTCAATTACAAATGATGATGGTGAATTTCAGGGAGAGAGACTATGGAGGTAAAGCTTTCTCTGAACAAGAGAAACCACTGTGAGACAGTCTGTCAGGTGTATGAAGACAGCGTGTTGCTTCACATGGCTCTCACTTGGAGAAACTGTAAGTTGCTAGCATTTTCCTCACTTAGGGGCGACACTGCCTGCTTAAGGCACGAATCTTATATAGTCTTAATTAATACTGAACATCTCATTAATTGTCCATAGACAATAGGATGGAAACATACTGCCTCTAAGTTTAAAACATACATTTTCTCCCATCCAGGACCGTCAAATTCTGAGGCTTCTCTTAGCAGTTAGCAAATGTATCAAGGCCAAAAATATGTTTCTCCACAGCTCACTGGGAAACATGGTTGTCTTCATATGATCCTCAGCCAAAAATCCACATGTTAATTATGTTTCCTTAACACTCAAGACACATGTAAGTGGACTTAGTGTGTATGATACTACTCTTCTTACTGTGGGCACATAACAGGCCATCAAGTAAAGGCTGCTGCACAAGGCACAGATGTGAATAGACAAGCTACACCCCCTACTTTGTGCTCAGATTAATGCCTGTAGAGGTGGAGAGTGTGGTTCTTGAATTATCTGGACTGTGTGTCAGAGTCACACAGGGGGCCATTAAGCCAGTACCAGATGCATGGTTACATGTCCTCCTACATGACACCTATTATTTCTGTGGAAGTGACCAATTCTGCACATACCTCTCCTTCTTCACCAAGTCCCCTTCCATCACTGCCATGCTGGCAGGTCGCTTCCTCTCCAGAGTTCCCAAGTCAGAGTCATTTCCGGTATGGGATGAGTGATTAGAATTCGGGGTAGCAAGAGGCACAAATGCTTCTGATACATTGAATTCTACCTCTGTCAGAAGAGAAACAAATGTGAGACTTGGCACAGGGGGAGCTTTCCAATACCCCAGTAGGATGAGAGCCTCGGTATTCCACAGGCAGAGCTCAAGTACAACAGACAGTCCTTGACCCCAGTGAGGCAAGCCTGGTGAGGCCAGCTGAGCACATAGCTCTACTGCTCTTAAGAGAAATCCAAGAATTCAGAAAGGGACAAGGAACACGAAGAACTTATTGAATCATTTAAAAAGTGACAGAAACCAATCCTTTGATATAAACTAGAAATGAAAGGTAGCATGGCCGGCTCACTGCCTGTGGCAGTTAGGAAATCCTAGGCAGCATATGTCAGCCTTCACTCTCCTACTCGTCTCGCTAAACATCAGCAGTGAGTGATTCTCAAGGACAGGAAGACAGAAGAGAACTAAGCCAGCCCTCCATCAGGAGCTCACACTGCAGTGGACGAGGCAGCTGGCCTGTACTGAAAAAGGAGGGGCAGGACTTGGGCTTCAACATACATACAACCAGCTCCTGAGGAGGAGGCCATGGGAACCTCTGTGGATCCCATGATCACAAGAGAAACTGGAAAATTCACCAGCTACAGAAGAAAATCCTAATTCTCTGACCTTCACAAACCAGCTCCAACCAGCTCCAGCCTTGCCTGCTTTATTTTCTACCTTTGATAGTCCAAACAACTATCCAAACTCACTATAATCCCTGTGCTAAGTAAAGGGACTCTGTGCCTTCAGCATCACTCCTGAGAAACAGACCTTGGCTCTCTTTTCCCAGCATCTGAGCTTGTCAAATCTTTCTCTATCCAACATTCCAATCTGCCACTTGATAATTTTGTAATTTATCTGTTTAAATGGTTGCCTTCTTAGAGAATCCATCAGAACAGACAGTATACAATCATAGCAACTAGTGGATATTCAATATATATACTATGCAAGCATATTTTAGTGAAACTAAGGGAAATGGAAAAATAATATAATTATCACCACGTCAAAATATGAATGCATATGAATGAAATCTGAAGCGAAGTGTGAGAAAGTGAAACCAATTACATAATCATCACGTTTTCTTCCTTTTAAAACTGTGGTATACTACTGTCACATAGCCTGGAACCATGAGTACCTCCGGGGAAGAACCAATCTGCATGCTGGATGATGGGCTCAATCACTGCGACCACGTGGACCGATGTGGCAGCCGCTATTTCAGCCAGCGTTCTGCAAGGAAGTTCACACAATTAAAATGCTCCTCTTGGCAGCCACACATTTCTGCAAGCTGTCATGGCATCTGGATGATGGCTGATGGATAAAATATTTACATACAGATACAAAAAGTAAGCCCACAAGGCCCTATCCTGTGAGTCTGCCAGTAATGCCCAAGAGGAAGAATTACCCAGCTATTATCAATCCTTCCTCAGCAGAGTGGACTACCTTAGAGGCCTGGCATGGGCCAAAGGGTGGAGTATACCCAGGCTGAGTGAGACTGGACCTGGAACTTTATCTATGTGGCTTTGGGGAAGCCCTCATCATCAGCTGGCTGCAGGAGTGGCCACACCCCTATAATAGCCCCCCCCCCCCGTTTCTATAAGGAAACCCAGTGATTCATTGGTTCACTGAACTCTGGCAGAAACATGCCTCGGGCTTTGGCTGGGACCTTGGAAGAAGGGATGGATGCTGCTTCACATCTCTGGGAAGGAATTTTACTAGCAGTGCCTCTAAAGACCTTTAAAGATCTCTGGCCCTTTCCTCTCTGGTGCTGTTTGTTGGCCAGCAGGAGCTAGGGAACACTTTCTGCCACATGCTCCTGCTGCCACGAGGATGTGCCTTGTCAGATGATCACAGACAGCCACGTAGCCAGCTGACACCTCCGAGACCTACAACGCTTACACTTTAAGCTGTTCTCTCAGGTATCTGTCACATCATGATGTCTGAGGCACATGGGGCATAATTTAGGAAAAGATACTGGATTCCGAGGAGCCTCATTTTCAGGTCTGATGGCCTCTAACCAACCTCTCTGGTGCTAGTGTCACTGTGTCTCAGTCCTCAGACTGTGTCGCCCACTTCCTAACCAAGCAGACCATCTGGCTCCTTCTCATGTATGACCCAAGCTCTCCTGGCAGAGCGCCCTTCTACTCTTCCTCAAGTGAAGATTCAGGTCAGTGCCCATGCCCACGTGTGTCCTAGTCCAAGAATTCTTTTAAAAAACATACTGCTGATTATTCACACAGCTTTCTTTCAGGTATTTCTCAGTCGTTTGGGGCATCATCTTCTAGCTTTGGTCAATGGTGCTTCCTGAGAAGTTTCTGGGCATTAGAAAGCTGTGTCTATTACTGTTAAATGTACTGATTTTTTTTTTTAAAAAAAGATATTCTTGCCGGGCGTTGGTGGCGCACGCCTTTAATCCCAGCACTTGGGAGGCAGAGGCAGGCGGATTTCTGAGTTCGAGGCCAGCCTGGTCTACAGAGTGAGTTCCAGGACAGCCAGGGCTATACAGAGAAACCTTGTCTCGAAAAACCAAAAAAAAAAAAAAAAAAAAAAAAAGATATTCTTATAATATTTCATGCTGGGAGCTGGGAATTTTTTTAAAAAAGATTCATTTATATTATATATGTGAGTACACTGTCACTTTCTTCAGACATACTGGAAGAGGGTATCAGATTCCATTACAGATGGTTATGAGCCACCATGTGGTTGCTGGGAATTGAACTCATGACCTCTGGAAGAGCATTCAGTGCTCTTAACCGCTGAGCCACCTCTCCAGCCCCTAAATGTACTGATTTTTAACCAGCTAAGCTGTATTGCTTTTTGAATTTTGTCTGTTTTCCTTTGAAGATTCTTTTTGTCCCCACAGCTAAAGACTTGCATTTCTCTTCTATGTGGGTATCTTCGGTCAGGGATTTATTTGCTATATAATCTATGCACTTAGCCCATCTTCCTACTCAACTTCACTTTTGCTTTATGACACTGTATCCTTACAACTATTTTCTGAAGCAAAACTGGGCATGCACAAGCAGTTGAATCACTGGTTTGCTAAGCTGGCCAGCAGCAATAAGGGAGTGACAGGTAAGGACAAGGACTTTGTGGCCAGCGCTTATACCCCACTGTCCTGTCATGAAGGCCCTGGCAAATGACTGGTTCTTTTCAAACTCAGCATCCTCAGATGAGCACCTGCTCCCCAGCTGAGCCCTCATGCCTATCTCTTCAAGTCAACCCACACAGCTCAATGCCAGCAAAGGCATCCTAAAGGCAACACTGTGAGCCATTCCGCTTAGGACAGTATTAGTTACTTTCACACTGCTATCTATGGCAAAGTGACTCAAGGGAACAAAGATTTGTTTGGGCTCATGGTTCTACCATACAGGTGAAAGAACTGTCACAGCCGCAGAATAATTTTGAGAAGGATCTTGTTATGGAGGTGAAGCAGGGGCCAGTTATCACTTTCAAAGATAACCTTTAAAAACTTGCCTCCAACAGCAGGCCCCACCTCTCAATATCTCTACAACCCCACAAAACAGTATCGTGACCTGGAAAACAGATATTTGAAATGTTGTCGCATAAGAGACATTTTATTTTAACAACAGAACAGGAGCCTTGATGATTCCCATAGGACCCTGGAGAGTAAGTTTCAAACAAGTCAGCCGTACACACAAGGTCCTTCACAACCTACCTCTGTCTGTCAAGGCATCTTCCAGTTATCCAGGACTGTGCATATTGTCCTCAAAGGGCAGAATCTAAGCTGTGTACCACAACCTTCTCTGGTCTCAGTGCCAAGGGCAGGAAACTATTCATTCATTAAGGTGAACAAGTGTTACTCCCAGAGGAGGGTGTCCACCAGCCTCCTCAGGCTGTCACACCCTCTTACCTACACTGTCAGCATGGAAGGTGCATAACAGGACACCCCAATGTGCCCCTGTGGGATAGGGCTATGCTGAGGTAAAAGCATGTGAAAACAGTGGATGCCAGAGAGGGTTCTGGCTTTCTTTTTCCTTCCTGAGGGCAGGAGATATGAAAGACACCTTCCCCACGCTGGAGAAAAGAACCATTCTTTCCAGCCATGACAGAATGATGAGGCCAATCTGTACAAATCAACTGTTGGGACAATCCTCGACTTCCTAGCATGTCTACATGCAACTGTCCAGCCCAAGGGCATCTTGCCACATGTTCACACACTACTACACTGCCCAGCTAGAACATTTGGGTGTTTCTTTGTGCCTTCATTTCCCTATGTACTTGCAAAAACCTATAGGTTTTTCTCTTGTCAATTTGCTTTATGTCAGTTAAATTATTAGGCATAGCTAGAGACACTTAAGGGCTTGGGTCATGGGTCTATACCTGTGGTACATACATAGAGATGTGTGTCTTGCCTGCCACCATTCAGGGGCTGCTAAGCTCACTGACTACTCAGAACTCAGGAGTGGAAGCTCTCTTAGGTAAGGATAATGTCTCCTGTGTCTCTGTGTCATCTGCACAGGAGTTAACACCGAGTGCACAGCTGTGTCTTCCAAACATGAGCTGGATGGGAATGCAACTTCAGATCACTCTGAAGTCACCTGCAGTCTGAGTGTGTCTCTTGAAATGGTAACCACCAGGAAGGAACAGTGTAAGCATGAGGTAGGGAAGAATCACTTACCCTTCTTGTTTGGCCCACAGAAGGTTAGGGCCCAGCACAATGGCTATGTTGCTAGGAGTCATTTTATTAATGTCACTGGTCTGGGCAAGCTTTGCAAGGAACTTGATTAAATACCTGTAAGACAAACAGAAGGGTAGGAGCATCTCTGAAGCACTGTGGACTGTCCCCGCTCTGCTGACTGTGCAGGGCACACACGGCTCAGGCACTTCCAACAGGCTGTCCCTGACTGGGACCCACCTCATGTGGAGTGCTGGTCACATTCCTCATGCACTTTATTCAGAACAGATTACTGAAGGTTTGGAAGGAGAACACATGTCCAACATCATCACACTGATTTAACCTTACCTATTCCTAATCTATTTACTTTGCCCCTATATTAATTAACCTGATTAATAGTGGACCCAGTATATGTTTAATAAAAAGGTAGTTTTAAAAAAGGAAACTGTATTTGAAAACCTTCATTTTAATTGTGAAAATATTTGATTTATTACATAGACATATGTTGTTACACATAAGTAGTATAAAAATGAAACACGAACAACCAAATTCTCTGTTAATAAGGAACTAGTTAGGTAAATTATAGTCTATCTTGATCTACAGCAAAGTACTATGTGACCAAAAAATTATGTAGTGATTCAGAAAAATCTCAGATGTATTATGCAAAGATATGGAGCAAAGCAGGCGAAGGGGAGAATGACACATAAAGTACACACGGTCGTTTTGGCTAAAGACAAGGGGTCCGGGAAGACGGACATGTGAACGGGGTGGACGTAATCACAATGTGTTGTACACATGTATGAAATTCTCAAAAAATAAAAACATTCTTTTTGAAAAATGGGCAATGAGAGAAAAATTATGTATGTATGAATGCATTTCACGTGTGTGAGTACACACCACATGCATGTACGCGCGCACACACATACACACACACACACACACACACACAAGCTCTTGTAGAGTAGACAGACACTGAAGAAATTGTGGATGCTGTATCTCAGATGAAGGAGGTCTACAAGAGATTTTTTCAATGTGTATCTTTTAAGCTTAGAACCATCAGAATGTCCTTCATTATTTAAAAAGTAATTAGTAAAAGTTACAGAGAAAAAGATGCAAGCTAAAAGATCAAACCTCAACACATTAAGTTCTGTAACTAAGTTCCCACTACACCACACAGACAGATTTCTATAATCTGCCATTGTGAGCCAGGCTTATAATCAATGAGGGATATCACAGAAAAGGCCGAGCCAGTCCTTTACACGTGGACAGGGAGTATCTGACGTGGCTGAGATAAAGACCAAGATCAAGTTTAAGGTCATGGAACATGTCACCCAAATGACTTGGAGAGTGGATTTTAAATGAATCACTTCAAAAAATTTTCTGATTTTAATTTTAATTACATTTATTCCAATGTGTGTATCAGAGAGAAAGAGAGGGAGACAAAAGGACACATCTTACAGGAGTTAATTCTCTCCCTCTATCTTGTAGGTGCCAGGAACTCAATGTAGTTTCTCAGGCTCAGCAGTAAGGACCTCTGCTCATTGAGTCTCATTGCTGGACCCTTTGCTTGGTTTTAACTGACAACTCCCTGGGGCTACCTTTCATCTATGCCTCTACCAAGCACAGAAATCAAAGGGACAGAGAAGTCCCAGAAGTTTGTCCCATGAGAAGTTTTCTTAGAGATATATTTAGTAATGTACTGAAATATAACCTTTATTGTACAGTGATTTGGGCACTATTTTCTATGGATGGCCACAGAAACTGTAACTATGTATTAACTACATTTACATCTGGGACAGCTTGGACTCCAAATACAACATACAGCCACTAAAGCTTTTCTTTTTCTTTTTTTTTTTTTTATTTTAAGCAATTTTTTTTTTTTTTTATTGGATGATTTATTTACATTTCCTATGTTGTCCCCTTACCCCATCCCCCACCACCCCCTCGGAACCCCCAAACCCCTCGCCCCTCCTCCTTCTTCTCTGTGGATGTAACCTCTATCTACACCCCCCAACTCCCACCTCCCCACCCTCAAAATTCCCACCCCCTGGGGCATCCAGCCTTCATGAGGTCAAGGTTCTCTTCTTCCACCTATGCCCAGCAGGGCCCTCCACTTTTACATATTCAGCTGAAGCCCTGGATCCCCCCCTAAGTGCTCCCAGGCTGGTGGTTTAGACCCTGGGAGCTGTGGTTGGTTGGTATTGTTGCTCTCCTCATGGTGCCACAAACCCTTTCAGCTCCTTCAGTCTTCACTCTAACTCCTCTATTGAGAACCCCATGATCAGTTCAATGGCTAGTTGTGAGCATCTGCCTCTGAATATGTCTGACTCTTGAAGGCCTCTGAGGAGATATCCATATCAGGCTCTTATCAGCATGCACTTCCTGTCTTCCACATCAGCATCTACCTTTGGTGATTGCACATGGGATAGATACTCAGGTGGGGTGGCCTTGAGACGGCCCCTCCTTCAGTTTCTGTCCCTAACTTTGTCTCCATATTTGCTCCCTTGAGTATTTTGTTGCTCCTTCTAAGAAGGACCGAATCACCCTCACTTGGTCTTCCTTCTTTATGGGCTTCATGTGGCCTGTGAGTTGCATCTTGGGCATTTCAAGGTTCTAGGCTAATATCCAATAATCAGTGAGTGAATACCATGTGTGTTCTTTTGTGATTGGCTTACCTCACTCAGGATGATAATTTCTAGTTCCATCCATTTACCAAGGAACCTCTCGAATTCATTGTTTTTAATAGCTGAGTAATACTCCATTGTGTAAATATACCACATTTTTTGAATCCATTCCTCAGTTGAAGGACATCTGGGTTCTTTCCAGCTCCTGGCTATTATAAATAAGGCTGCTATGAACATAGTTGAGCATATGTCCTTGTTATATGTTCGAGCATCTTCTGGGTATATGCCTAGGAGTGGTATAGCTGGATCCTCGGGTAATGCTATGTCCAATTTTCTGAGGAACCGCCAGACTGATTTCCAAAGTGGTTGCACCATCTTGCAGTCCCACCAACAATGGAGGAGTGTTCCTCTTTCTCCACACCCTCGCCAGCATCTACTATCACCTGAGTTTTTAATCTTAGCCATTCTGACTGGTGTGAGATGGAATCTCAGGGTTGTTTTGATTTGCATTTCCCTGACGACTAAGGATGCTGAACATTTCTTTAGATGCTTCTCGGCCATTCGAGTTTCTTCCGTTGAAAATTCTTTGTTAAGCTCTATACCCCATTTTTTAATAGGGTAATTTGGTTGTCTGGAGTCTAATTTCTTGAGTTCTTTGTATATATTGGATATTAGCCCTCTATCAGATGAAGGATTGGTAAAGATCTTTTCCCAATTTGTTGGTTGTCGTTTTGTCCTATTGACAGTGTCCTTTGCCTTACAGAAACTTTGCAATTTTATGAAGTCCCATTTGTCAATTCTCGATCTTAGAGCATATGCCATTGGAGTTCTGTTCAGGAACTTTTCCCCTGTGCCCAAGTATTCGAGGCTTTTCCCCACCTTCTCTTCTATTAGTTTCAGTGTATCTGGTTTTATGTGGAGGTCCTTTATCCACATAGACTTGAGCTTTGTACAAGGGGATAAGAATGGATCAATTTTCATTCTTCTACATGTTGTCTTCCAGTTGAACCAGCACCATTTGTTGAAAATGCTGTCCTTTTTCCACTGGACAGTTTTAGCTCCTTTGTCAAAGATCAAGTGACCATAGGAGTGCGGGTTCATTTCTGGGTCTTCAATTCTATTCCATTGATCTTCCTGCCTGTCTCTGTACCAATACCAGGTAGTTTTTATCACTATTGCTCTGTAGTACAGCTTGAGGTCAGGGATGGTAATTCCTCCAGAAGTTCTTTTATTGTTGAGAATAGTTTTCGCTATCCTGGGTTTTTTGTTATTCCATATGAATTTGAGAATTTCCTTTTCTAACTCTGTGAAGAATTGAGTTGGGATTTTAATGGGGATTGCATTGAATCTGTAGATTGCTTTTGGCAAGATGGCCATTTTTATTATATTAATCCTGCCAATCCATGAGCATGGGAGATCTTTCCATCTTCTGAGATCTTCTTCAGTTTCTTTCTTCAGAGACTTGAAGTTCTTGTCATACAGGTCTTTCACTTGCTTGGTTAGATTCACACCAAGGTATTTCATATTATTTGCAACTATTGTGAAGGGTGTCATTTCCCTAATTTCTTTTTCAGTCTGTTTATCTTTCATGTAGAGGAAGGCTACTGATTTGTTTGAATTGATTTTATAACCAGCCACTTTGCTGAAGTTGTTTATCAGGTTTAGGAGTTCTCTGGTGGAAGTTTGGGGATCACTTAAGTATACTATCATATCATCTGCAAATAGCGATATTTTGACTTCTTCCTTTCCTATTTGTATCCCTTTGACTTCTTTTTGCTGTCTAATTGCTCTGGCTAAGACTTCCAGTACTATATTGAATAGGTAGGGGGAGAGTGGGCAACCTTGTCTAGTCCCTGATCTTAGTGGGATTGCTTCAAGTTTCTCTCCATTTAGCTTGATGTTGGCTACTGGTTTGCTGTAAATTGCTTTTACTATGTTTAGGTAGGGGCCTTGAATTCCTGATATTTCCAAGACTTTTATCATGAAGGGATGTTGAATTTTGTCAAATGCTTTCTCAGCATCTAGTGAGATGATCATGTGGTTTTTTTCTTTAAGTTTGTTTATATAGTGGATTACATTGATGGATTTCCGAATATTGAACCATCCCTGCATTCCTGGGATAAAACCTACTTGATCATGATGGATGATTGTTTTGATGTGGTCTTGGATTCGGTTTGCTAGAATTTTATTGAGTATTTTTGCATCGATGTTCATAAGGGAGATTGGTCTGAAGTTCTCTTTCTTTGTCGGGTCCTTGTGGGGTTTGGGTATGAGTGTAATTGTAGCTTCATAGAACGAATTGGGTAGTGTTCCTTCTGTCTCTATTTTGTGGAATAGTTTGAAGAGAATTGGTATTAGGTCTTCCTTGAAGGTCTGATAGAATTCAGCACTAAAACCATCTGGTCCTGGGCTTTTTTTTAGTGGGGAGGCTTTTGATGACTGCTGCTATTTCCTGAGGGGTTATGGGACTATTTAGATGGTTTATCTGCTCCTGGTTTAACTTCGGTACCTGGTATCTGTCTAGGAAATTGTCCATTTCATCCAGGTTTTCCAGTTTTGTTGAGTATAGGCCTTTGTAGTAGGATCTGATGATTTTTTGAATTTCTTCAGTTTCTGTTGTTATGTCTCCCTTTTCAGTTCTGATTTTATTAATTTGGATACTGTCTCTGTGCCCTCTGGTTAATCTGGCTAAGGGTTTATCTATCTTGTTGATTTTCTCAAAGAACCAACTCCTGGTTTTATTGATATTTTGTATTGTTCTTTCTGTTTCTATTTGGTTGATTTCAGCCCTGAGTTTGATTATTTCCTGCCTTCTACTCCTCCTGGGTGTATTTGCTTCTTTTTGTTCTAGAGCTTTTAGTTGTGCAGTCAACTTGTTAGTGTGTGCTCTTTCCAGTTTCTTTTTGTAGGCACTTAGAGCTATGAGCTTTCCTCTTAGCACTGCCTTCATGGAGTCCCACAAGTTTTGGTATGATGTGTCCTCATTTTCATTGAATTCTAAAAAGTCTTTTATTTCTTTCTTTATTTCTTCCTTGACCAAGTCATCATTGAGTAGAGAGTTGTTCAGTTTCCATGTGTACGTGGGTTTTCCATTGTTTTTGTCATTATTAAAGACCAGTCTTAGTCCGTGGTGATCTGATAAGATGCAAGGGATTATTTCAATCTTTTTGTATCTGTAGAGGCTTGTTTTGTGACCAATTATATGGTCTATTTTGGAGAAGGTACCATGAGGTGCTGAGAAAAAGGTATATTCTTTTGTTTTAGGATGAAATGTTCTATAGATGTCTGTTAAGTCCATTTGGTTCATAACTTCTGTTAATTTCAAAGTGTCTCTGTTTAGTTTCTGTTTCCATGATCTGTCCATTGCTGACAGTGGGGTGTTGAAATCCCCCACTATTATTGTGTGAGGTGTAATGTGTGTTTTGAGCTTTAGTAAAGTTTCTTTTATGTATGTAGGTGCCCTTGCATTTGGAGCATAGATGTTCAGAATTGAGAGTTCACCTTGGTAGATTTTTCCTTTGATGAGTATGAAGTGTCCTTCCTTATCTTTTTTGATTAATTTTGGATGAAAGTCGATTTTATTTGATATTAGAATGGCTACTCCAGCTTGTTTCTTGGGACCATTGGCTTGAAAAATTGTTTTCCACCCTTTTATTCTGAGGTAGTGTCTGTCTTTGTCACTGAGGTGCGTTTCTTGTATGCAGCAAAATTCTGGGTCTTGTTTGTGTATCCAGTCTGATAGTCTGCGTCTTTTTATTGGGGAATTGAGACCATTGATGTTAAGAGATATTAAGGAAAAATGATTGTTGCTTCCTGTTATTTTTTTTATTAGAGGTAAAGTTATGTTTGTATCTTTTTTGGGGGTTGTTGGAAGATTACTTACTTGCTTTTCCTAGGTTGTAGTTTCCCTCCTTGTGTTGGCATTTTCCATCAATTATCCTTTGAAGTGCTGGGTTTGTGGGAAGATATTGTACAAATTTGGTTTTGTCATGGAATATCTTGGTTTCACCATCTATAGTGATTGAGAGTTTTGCTGGGTATAGTAATCTGGGCTGGCAATTGTGTTCTCTTAGTGTCTGTATGATGTCAGTCCAGGCTCTTCTGGCTTTTATAGTCTCTGGTGAGAAGTCTGGTGTAATTCTTATAGGTCTGCCTTTATATGTTACTTGACCTTTTTCCCTTACTGCTTTTAGTATTTTTTCTTTGTTTTGTGCATCTGATGTTTTGATTATTATGTGACGGGAGGTATTTCTTTTCTGGTCTAGTCTATTTGGTGTTCTGTAGGCTTCTTGTATGTTTATGGGCATCTTGTTCTTTAGGTTAGGGAAGTTTTCCTCAATAATTTTGTTGAAGATATTTACTAGCCCTTTAAGTTGGGAATCTTCATTCTCATCTATACCTATTATCCTTAGGTTTGGTCTTCTCATTGTGTCCTGGATTTCCTGGATGTTTTGAGTTAGGAGTTTTTTGCATTTTGCATTTTCTTTGACAACTGTGTCAATATTTTCCACCGTATCTTCTGCATTTGAGATTCTCTCTTCTATCTCTTGTATTCGGTTGGTGATGCTTGCGTCTGTGACTCCTGATCTCTTTCTTAGGTTTTCTATCTCCATGGTTGTCTCCCTTTGAACTTTCTTTATTGTTTCTATTTCTAGTTTCAGATCCTGAATGTTTTTGTTTAATTCCTTCTTTGTGTTTTCTTGCATTTCTTTAAGGGATTTCTGTGATTCCTCTTTAAGGGCTTCTATCTGTTTACTTGTACTCTCCTGTATTTCTTTAAGGGAGTTACTTAATTCCTTCTTATAATCCTCTATCATCATCATGAGAAGTGATTTTAATTCTGAATCCTGCTTTTCAGGTGTGATGGGGTGTTCAGGGCTTGCTATATTGGGAGAATTGGGCACTGATGATGCCAAGAAACTTTGGTTTCCGTTGCTTATGTTCTTGCGCTTGCCTTTCGCCATCTGGTTAACTCTGGTGGTACCTGCCCTCACTGTGTAAAACTGGAGTCTGTATTTCCAGTTATCTTGCTTATTGCAGAGCTCCTCAGAGTCCAGAGGTCTCTGTGGTCTTATGCTCCTAATCTCCTGGGTGGAATAACTCCTGGGACTCAGGCCACCTCTTGGATCTGGAAATCCTTCTGCTCTGAGTGCAGTGGGTCCTCGATGACTCAGGATTCAGTTTCAGCTGCTCTGAGTGCAGTGGCTCCTGGATGACTCAGGATTCAGTTTCTCAACAGGACAGGAGCAGACCGACTCTGTGTCAGCTGCTCTGAGTGCAGTGGCTCCTGGATGACTCAGGATTCAGTTTCTCCATAGGACAGGAGCAGACCAACTCTGTGTCTGCTCCAGCCCAGAGGACCAGGCAGGGGCAGAAGGGAAGTGAATTCCGGAGGGGCGGGGTTTGGGTAGCTGCTGTGCCCTGGATGTCCCTGGCT